ATTTAAATTTAGACCATTGAATTATATCATTGGTTAACGTATCTTGTTGGGATTGGGTAGTATGTTTTTTTTCCACCCTTTTTTGATGTAAACTTAATTCTCGTTTGATTTATTTTCAATAAAGGTTTTTATTTTTGCTGATAAAAAAAAAAACCCGTATCTTGTTGCATTAAAAACTATAACATGATCATTGCAAAGCAAAAATAATAGAGTATGCCAAGTCTTCCAAAATGACCCTCTAGAGAACAATAACCGAGGAATATTGCAAAAGCCAAAGATCTAGGAAGAAAAGATCCAAGAAAAAAGAAAAGAAAATAGATGTAAAAAAAAAATTAAAATGAAGATAAATTAAGAACATCTCAGCATCAACACTGTAAGAAACATAGAGAATAAAACCCGACATGATTGATAAAAATAGTGATCAAACACAATTTTCAGACAATAATATCAACCCAAAGTTTTAATATATACATTCCCATGTAAATTATATTAAATCTCATGACTATTCATGCTAGGTTGGACGTCGATTTCATTGAAAATAATAATAAAAAAATGAAATAATTCTTTGAAAGATTCTTATTATTAAATAAAATAATTGAATGTCAACTCTGCATATAAAAGTGAAGACAAAGTATCAAAGATTTTCTAAGTACGTAGGGCTAGGAAATGCTCATTTTCTTATGCCCCATGCCACCCCATTTCATTTTCTCTAACATTGTCTTCCAATATTAAATCTCTGTCTCTCTCTTACAATCTTATTATAATCATTCGAATATCTGTCTCCTCTCTCTCTATCCCTCCAGTCTCTCTATAAAAATAATTTTTTTTAGAAAAAAACAATTCTTATCGATATATAGATACATGTATTGTGTCCAGGCATCACGCATGCCGATTCAATTTTTGGTGTCTTTTAGCAAAACCTAATCTTCGGAGTGATTCATCATCTTTCAAAAGAAAAATAGAGAGAGAAAATACATACAAATTTTAAATATTTTTTCTATGTGTCATTGTTGTAGTCCAAATGCTCTCAATAAGCCACGGAAAAGTAAAAGTACAATTTGGATAGGAAGGAAAATAAGGTTTTTCGTGTCTTTTAGCAAAACCTAATCCCTTCAAGTGATTCCTTTTCTTCCCAAAGAAAAATAAAGAGAGAAAATATATTCAAATTCTGATTTTTTTTTTTTTTTTTTTTTTGGGGATTGTTTTTTGTTGTTGTTGTTGTGTATATAGCATTTCGGCAGTCCAAACACTCTCAGGCTATGTTTGGCATATAGGGTTTGGGCTAAAATAGTGATAAAAAAATAAAATAGATTAAAAAGTCAATAAAACAAAATGTCACATTCAAATCATAATTTTTTTTTTTTTTTCACAAAAGTCAAAATAATCAAAAAAACTTATCCTAAACGAGACTTTTTAATCACAAGTTAAAATAGCAAAAAAGTCAAAAAATTAACCTACATCTCAAATGAAGGCTCAATAAGCCTTGAAAAGTAAAGCACTGTTTGGATAGGAAGAAAAAAGAAGTCTCTTACTTTTTATTTTATTTGTTTGTTTATTTTTGAATACATTGAAAGCCGCAACCTAGGAAGAGGGAGTGTTGGTTATAGCAAAACTTATCTTTAACATTTTAGTAAGGTGCAAAAGTTACGAGTAAGCTATAGCCCCCGTTGGTTGACAGGTCTATTGCTTTGCTTCTACACATAGTAGTACAAACATGAGCACACGACCTAATACTGATATAATACAGATACATTAACACAATAAATTTTAAAACATATAAGACACAATGTGCTTGAGTCATGTTGGAAATTATATTTTTAAACAAAATCATTATAAGTTATTATATGAATAACTTATTTAGAGGTAATGAGAAAAAATTATATAAAACACTAATTAAAACATATATTCTATAACTTAGAACATCATTTAAGTAATAATTGTATTCTAAATATTGTAAAATAATTGTAGAACATTAAAATACGCATGATGAATTCTATTGCATATCCTTTGCTAAATTCATCAATAAAGCTTCTTTTTGCTGTTCAAAAAAAAAAAAAAAAAAAACTTGTAAATGCTTCAAAATATATTTAAAATATACAAGTTGCATTATGAAGTACGCAGAACATTGTTATTATGAAGAGATTTATTACACATGTCATGTTTAGAGAGTTCAAAAAGTGTCGTCAAAGTGTTTGCGAAGTTTTGCTAAAGTGTCTAATATTATAAATTAAAATTTTTAATTAAGACACGGTTAAAGAAGTGTCGGACACACTTTTATAAGTATCCATAGAGTATCATTTTTGACATAACATGTCCGACACAAAATGCCTCCTCGATAAGCATGTCCATGCTTCTTAGTCTAATACTACTCTCTCTCTCTCTAAATTTGTATTCTACTCAAATGCATGCATGTATCACAAGTAAATCTTTCATGCAGATCTCATCACCTATATCAAATGCAGTAAATGAGATCTTTTATGTTTCATATGTTAATTTTCCATTCTGTCAGCGGCTGATCAGAATACATGTATTTTTTTTTTTTTTATCAGCAAAAAAAATTTCATTTAACAGCGTGAAATTAAAAGTACAGGAAGATGAGATGTATCGAGAGAGATTCGGAAGTATAAAAATACCCCTACTACTGCTACTCGCATCCATACAACCAACCCCTAAGCCTCTCAAATTTTTAAATAAAAAAGTTAAGAAGAACTTAACTAGATAATTAAAAAAACATGAATCCCCACATAATAACCCACAAAGACACTCAAAATAAACTAAAAAACTAAACAAGACCCACGGCAAAGAATATATTTTATTACTATGAGCTAAAACAACAGTGACATAATTTCAATATTACTAGTGTTGTTATCATTATTACATAATTTAATGGTGATGAAAATTTTCATTGATATCAGCTTTGTAGAAGAATAAAAAAACACTTTTTGTGCCATTTTAACGTAGTCATTTGGAACTCAGTTCTCCTTCCATCAAATTCAGAAGCCTTAATGCTGTGTTTGGTTGGGGAATTTGGAGAGGGATTTGGAAAGGGAAATGGAAAAGGTAGGTGAAATGTGAATAAATTATGCTTATATTTCACATAGTTTCACACACCTTTTCCCTTTCCCTTTCCAAATCTCTCTCCAAATCCTCCAACCAAACACACCATAAATAAATGAATGAATTAGGGCTTTTAAAAGACAAGACTTTTGCTTAACCAACTGGGTCTACCCTAATTGGTCACCATGTCTTTCCTAGAACTTAGTCCCTAGGAGGTTATGGGTTCAATTCTTGTTAGGGGAATTGAATTAAACAAGTGCAAGCTTCCATCAAATTCAGAAGCCTTAAATAAATGAATGAATTAGGGCTTTTAAAAGACAAGACTTTTGCTTAACCAACTGGGTCTACCCTAATTGGTCACCATGTCTTTCCTAGAACTTAGTCCCTAGGAGGTTATGGGTTCAATTCTTGTTAGGGGAATTGAATTAAACAAGTGCAAGCATTTAGGTGTTTTGTCAAGAGTGGAGAGATTTTCTCTCGTATGTGCTAATCTAACAATTAATAACTAACATTTGCCAATATAAAAAAAAAAAAAAAACACTTTTGCTTAAGCTTAGCTCAAGCGTTAATTAAGATTATTTCATCGTGTCTTTTTTTTTTTTATAATCAACAAAGGAAAATTATTTCATTGTGATTTAGGTGTCACATGATATAAATAATAAAATTATTCTTCTCTCTAACAATCTAAACTTTTAAATGAGTTAGTATTTAATAATTCAGTACTTTTAAAACCCACAATGCCGAAAACCTCATACATTGGATCCGCCTTTATATTCTAAGATAGGCATTGTCCAAATATTAGGTTCCTAATTCAAATCATGTTAGTCTCATTTTAAGGCTAACAGTCAAAATTCAACTTGGATGATAGAGATGTTTTCATATACATAAAAAAAATAAAAAAGAAGAAAAAACCCCTTTGATGATAGGATTTAACCTTAAAATTTTACTCTTGCTTTTTGGTGTGTGTGTGTTTCGGCACAAGTATTAAAGTTAAAGTCAAACTTTCAATCACGTCATACCCACATCAATACAGTGTAATTTCTCAAATGAATGTGCACATACGAAAACAATATCATTCCTCTTATTATCAATAAAAATAAAAAAAAATAAAAAAAAATCATGCAAAAAAGATTAATATTGCCGCTTGTCATGCATAGGTCCCATCTAAATTGACTAATTTTTGCATATCGCCATTCGCAGCCCTATGTCATTAGGACAATTTTTATTCGTATGAGACCAATAAAACTACAATAAGTCTAACAATACAGAAATCCAATATGGAATCAGACACGGATGGACAATTTTTATTTTAAAAAAAAAAAAAAAAAAATGAGTTCTGCCAAAAAATCTTGTAAAATCTTATTTATTTATATATTTTGTATCTGATTCTATATTTGATTTTTATATTTCTATTGCTAAATCAAAGTTATAGGAACACATCAATCATAAACTATGACTTAGAGAATAAGAATAAAAACATGGGGACAGAAAATGAGGGATATGATATAAGGCAAAAGTCATAGTTTAGGTAGGAAGAAATTGATATATGGCTTCTTCTGAATAAATGAAATGATCCCATCTTTTCTACTGAAGTTTTGATATTAACTAATCTAAAAAATAGAATTTTATCATGATATAACAATGAGAGGAGTCCCTAACAGAGGTCAAACAATTAAGATAATCACATGTGTGTGTGTGTGTGTGTGTGTGAGAGAGAGAGAGAGAGAGAGGGATTTTATGTGGGACAACTGTCAAAGAAAGGATTGAATGGAGAAAAAAATGGCCTTTTGAGAAGTCACGTGACATTGAACAGCTAAAGGGACCAATCTCATCTGTATCCATAATGCAAGTATTATTGCTTTATAATAAAACACAAGTGGAGTACTGTCCAACCCTAGTTGTTTTTTATTTTTATTATTATTTAAAAAAAAGGGCAAAAAAAAAAGAAAAAGAAAAACACAGAGAGATAAACTCATGAAAGTCTTTGGAATATCTGAAACTGTGATGACTAATGGCATGAGACTTTAATTCCACAGTTGAATGAAACAAGAACCTCCAAACGCTCAGAGAAAACAACACCAGCTTGCATACTCTCTCTCTCTCTCTCCATCTGATCATATGCTCATGGATAGACTAATCCCTTTATTTTAGAGTTCTTACTTTTTTATGTGTACCCGGGGATCGATCATCATGGCGATACGTTTGAATCTGAAGCACGCAGTCAGTAGATGAAAATCTTGGAAAAGAGAAGATTGAAGCACTTATTCCATCAATGGTTTGTATTTAGAGAATATCAGTATTACTATTGTTCGTATTTTCTTTGCTCATGCAAAAGTTAAATAATTGAATACATAATCCTTCCAATCCGAAGCACAAATATAGGCCTCTATCTCTCTCCCTCTCTCTAGTTTTGTCATGATTTCTATATTCTTGAGGGTAATTAGATGTGTTTTGTTTGGCAGTTCTGCAAACAAGCCTTTGTATGCAATTATATTTGATTTGTTCTTTATATCTTTCATATACCAATATTAGCTATGACCTAATATGAACATCAAAGATTTTCTTGTTCACCATTGTAATTATAAAGATGCTGCCTTCTTCAAATAAGGATGCATTTTCAAGATCAAATCATTCAAAACAAAGAAGCATATGATTATCAATAAATAACTTGTTTCATTTTCACAAACATTAATTCTATTATGTGCCTAATTATCTAAAGCTGCATATGATTTTTTCCCTATTTCCCTATTTTCTAAGTCAGGAAGCTGCAGATGATTTTTTTTCCCTTTATTAAAATTGTTACTCTTAAAAATTTCTTATTAAAAAGACAATAAGGTTTAAAGTCTGATGAATTTATTTTGATACTCCAAATACAAATTTTATTACCTTGAAATAAATAACTATTTCTTTGATTATCTTGATAGTATTGCCCAATACAAATTGACATAATTAAAACTCTTTCTAATTTTATTATTCTACAAGGTAATCACCAGTAAATAGTTCTTTAACTATTATTTGCCATGCATATTCTATTTCAAGGGTTCCTCATAGCCTTGAATTCTTCGGGATGCCCATCAAATTTCAAGAAACTATAAAGTAAATGAGCCAGATACAGAAAATTGAAACACATGTTAGTCTAACATATATGTTCACCCAATTGTTCCCGTTCTAATTCATAATCCTTCTTTCACCAACTTTTCTTACCTAGAATGTTTGGATCATGAACTTGTTATGATCCAAAGTTTTTCCCTTCCATGTTTTTTATACTGTCATTCATATTATATTGACCTTGACGCAAAAGCAAAATTCAAAACTCAAAACTTTTTTCTATATTGACCATATGGAGTTCTTAAATTCAAAAGGACTTCCATTTATATAGGTGGATGCTGCAGTAAAGGTGAAAGAATAAACAGCAAATATCCTTAATAGATTTTTGTGCATCACCTAAAGTTCCACAGCCAATAGATCAAAGACACCATGTGCAGTTTAACTGTCATAAAATATTCCAATTTTTGTAGAGTACTAATTGGTGGATGGTTACTTAATTTGAGGGAGGATGCATTGCCATAGATTTAATTACAATCTTATACGAAGAGGCGTGGTACAATTTGATCGTTCTTTACTTAATTGATTTAGATTATGAACATAATATAATTACACTGTTTTTGTTTTTTAATTATCCGAATGTTATATTATTTAAAGATGGTGATGTATTTTATAGTTATCTTTTGTGTTCTCCCATGTATTAATCAAGAGTTGATAGAACAAACCCAAAGCTTGATTATCTCACATTCAATATAGAAAAAGCAGTACAATTGAAGAAAAAAAAAATACTTACACCAAATAAAATAAAATGAGATGAGCAATTCTATTCCAAAATAGCATAATATGTATTTAATTTCGTTATTATTTGCTTTGTAGTTTAGACTTCACTTACTAATAGCATCTACTGTTCTTGTAAAATTTAAGCAGAAATTAGATAACTGGAAGAGATGTTTTTGCAAGTGTCTTTGTTTTGCCGATCAAAAAAAATAGCATCTACTTTTCAATTCTCAAATGTTAATAATTTTCTTTCATTCATCTTCGATACCACTTCTATTTGCAGAAGTGCAACTTCAAAATAAACTTGAGGATGTGAATTGACATAGCTAGAAGAACAATTTTAGCCATGAGTGAAGGAATGGAGATTCAAGACGATAAAATGAGTGACATAATTGAGGAACAAGTTAAAAATACATCATCATCATCAGTGTCTTTGCAAAAGTTTTCATCCTTTGATTTGAATGAAGAAGCCAATAGCGAAGAGGAAGATTGTGCCGATGAGATGGATGACTTGATTAATCTTGAGGATGACAAAAAAGGGAATTCAACCAATGATAGCACCTCAGGAGGAGAAGGAAGTGAAAGGAAGAATACAGTTCGGCAATATGTACGATCAAAGATGCCTAGGCTCCGATGGACTCCTGATCTCCATCTCTCTTTTGTGCACGCTGTTGAAAGGCTTGGTGGACAAGAGAGTAAGTCTAGTACATTTCACTACGATACATTTTGCACCTTCCTCATCTTTAATGATATATCTTAATTTGATACCATTAATAAAGATTCCTTTTTTGTTGATAAAAAATAATAATAATAAATATATATAAAAAATAAAAAATAAAAAAGAGAGAAAGAGCCTAGTTGTTGAAAATTTAAATGTATCTCACCACATAAAATTCATTGTACATCTATTTAAAAGGGTATATATAATTTTGTTAATTTTGTTTAAGGAGATGAAAAAATTGTTCTTGATTAATCTTAGTCACAAAACAAACAAAAAAACCTTTCCTTTCCATTGGTAATGTAAATGAATTATTAATTTATTTATTTTTTTTGGCTTTGTTATGTAGAAGCGACTCCCAAATTAGTTCTTCAGTTGATGAATGTGAGGGGACTAACCATTTCCCATGTAAAAAGTCACTTGCAGGTAGTTACAATGTTTTTAAATATTATTAGATCTAATTTTGTGGCATATGTCTTCCTAATTTCTTCTTTTTTCTATCACTCATTTGTCCATATCAGATGTATCGAAGCAAGAAGCTTGATGATTCTGGACAAGGTAAAATTATTGAACTTTGTAGTAAAAGGGAAATTTTGAATATTTGTTGTATTTTTCACATATTATTGACCAAAGAAAGCGGTATCATTCACTTTAAGCTCAACATATTTTATTGATTTTAAAAATTATGGTGTGTGTCAAGTGCCAACTTAGTTGGAATACTTCTATTGACTCTTGTACTTTTTTCTTAACTTTTATTATCTAGTTGTACTTTCAATTCAGAGTTTTTCTTCTTTTTTGATTAAAAAAGTCACAATTTCATTTCACTATTTTTTCCCTCCTTTTTGACAGTGTTAAGTCAAAATAAATCAATACAAGGACGAGATCACATTAATAGATTTTTCTACCAAAGAACTAGTCCTCTTCAACATTTCAAAATGGAAAATGGTGCAATTGTACTAGGGCGGAATCCCCCTGAAGGTAATGGTGTTCAAAGTCTTCTGCAGCATCCCCTTCACCGACATCCATTGGATTTCCAAGCTACTTACTCAAGGTAATTAAACCCACCCTATTCGTAAGAAACCCTAGAAATATTTTTTGTATCACTGAGTCTCTCATGTACACATATGTATAGGCACCAACAATGGATTTCTAATCAGTATGCTGTGACTAAGCCGAGTTATCCAATTAGCAAAGATGATGGACAAGGCAGCAATTTATTCAATACAATGTTCTTGCGAAATCAAGACCAGTTATCATCAACACCAAACCAAATCCATGCCACGGATGTAGGTGTGCGAAATGGCCCAATTAAACCTAGCCAATTTCATGAAGAAAAGAAGTGGCCACCGCGTAAAATTGTTCCTAGCAACAATTCTTGGGTGAGTACTAGTTCTCAACACTCCAATTGCCAAATTTCTACCATGCCGAGGACTATACAAACAACCTACTTTGTGCAGCCATCCAGATGGAATTGTATAAATAGCACAAGGATTTGGCAACTTCCGTCTAATTTACAAGATCATAAGAGCGTTTCCAATACTTTTGAGCACGAGTTTAGCTCATCATTTTGGCTTAAGGTAATCTATTGCAATCACCTTTTTCATATATTTAATCCAGTATGTAGTAGTTTTATTCTAAACGTATTGTATTTTTTCTTAAGTTTGTAGTATGTTAATTTTTTGATATTGAATCAGGAGAAAAAGTCGAAGCACAAGGAATGGTTGCCTGATTTGCAATTGGCCTTGAGCCAAAGTGCTGAAAACAAAGAGGAGAAGACTTGTGGAAAGAGCGTGCCAGAGATTAACACCATGCTTTCTCTTTCTTTATTCCCTTACTCATCGAGGCAAACAAACACAACCTAGAAACAAATAGAAACTTCATAAGTCCATACTTATTAATAGAAGAAGACTAGATAGATACAGGATGAGTACTTAAGATCTGACCATGTTCTATATATAGATATAGAGTATAGGAGTGAGATCTTCAAAGTACTTACCTTAAATGTCACAACAATGGTCTCGTGCTTTTTTTTATTCATGTAATGTAATGTTCTGGAACGAGTTACAGCATTTGGGTAGAACAAACATCAAATTAAAAGAAAAAAACAAAAAACAAAAAACAAAAAAAGTTGTTTATAAGATTTTATGTGATGATTTCATGATTTTATGGAATAAATATGATCACTCAATTAAAACCTGAAGTATCATATACACTTGGTGCTGCAAATGAATGGAAAACTAAGCAGTGCAGTGAATGAATCGAGCTCATCCTTAATTAAGATTCAATTTGGACTCAAGCTCTGCTTGAAAACATATAGAAGGAACTCAAATAATCTGCTGAGGAGCAATTCATAAACATTTCAACTCGTTTACAGCTTTATTATGCTAATGTTGAGCACAGTTCAATTGTTATCTAGGTTAGCATAGATTCAAGGTTCAATACCACATATGAGTACATGTGTTTTTGAGAGAGAGAGAGAGAGAGATGGCATTGTATTAGAATAGATGTGGCATTTTCATTGAATTAGCCTTTCTTTCCTTCAAAATTCTTGTAAAAAATTTAGAAATATTTCCTTTAGTTACATTTCAGAGGTTGTCATGAAAGGACCAGCTAAGGTAAAAAAATAAAATAAAAATAAAAATAAAAACTGAAAATTCCATTTTATTTCCATTTTCCAAATACAAAATGGAACCAGCGTTCAAAAAAAAAAAAGCCAATGGAACCTTATACATGCATATATATTATCATGAACCATTCACTGTATCATACGCAAGGTTCTAAATCGCGGTATCGGGTAACGTAACGGTATCGATCGCGGAGTATCGGTATCGGTAGTATCGATCGGTACGTATCGGGAATCGGGTGTCGCGGTGGTGAAATTTTAAAAATCATTTTAAAGGTTTTTCAACTTTTTCTTTCCCGTACCGGTCCGAACCGGTGAGTATCGGCCCGTCGCGGCTTGTGTAACGGCTTGTGTAACGCTTACAGGCCGATACGTACCGGGACTCGGCCGATACTCCTGCGATTTTTAATCTCAGTGGTATATCGGCCTGTATCCGTCGCGGACAAAATGGAACCAGCGTTCAAAAAAAAAAAAGCCAATGGAACCTTATACATGCATATATATTATCATGAACCATTCACTGTATCATACGTTTTATATTCAAGATTAAAAACAGAATATTTTCTTCAAACCAACCCCACATACACATTAATTTTGAGTTGTGACTGACAAAGACCACTATCTTATTAATTGGCATGAGCTAACAGAAGGTTGAAATGTCTTTGTAACCATTAATCAAAGTAGGTTTGATGATCCACATCAAGCCTCTCAAAAGTAGCTTATCTCCATGGATGGAGAGAGAGAGAGAGAGAGAGAGGTATCATTGATGTAGTGGAAACGTAGAGTTTGTTGATTCAAAGACGAATACTGAAAAGTAAAATTTATCTTTAGATTTATTGACTTATAAAGAATACCAAAAATTAAAGTTCTAATTCGAAGTGAATATTCAAGGTTGGAAAAAGAGTAAAAACTCGAAATTGTATTAATTCTCTACAACTAAAATATGCAGATTGGAAATGAGCAAAATAAAAATACAACAGAAATTATCGAAAATAAATATGTTGAAATAAACTAAAGAAACTATTTATTTAGGCTGCTATGGTAATGGCAGATTTGACGGAATCGAATTCTAACTTATACACTAAGGTGTCGTTTGGAAAGTTAAAGGTTGGGCTTTTTTAGTTAAAATAGTTATAAAAAAATAAAATAGATTTTTTAGCTAAAAAAAAAATATCACATTTAATCCATAATCATTACATTCTTTCTTTTACAAAAAAGTCAAAAAAATCAAAAACTCTTCCCAAACGAGATTTTTTATCCCCAGACTAAAATAGTCAAAAAAAAATCAAAAGTCAACCCACTTCCCACACAAACCCTAAGACAACAAAATTTTGAAATTAACGACCTAAACAATAAAATTTGTCCAAAATCCACCGAGGTCCATACCAAAGCAATGGACCTTAATCAGAATAACATTTTTCATCAACCCCACCTAATTTCACCTAATTCCAAGTCCAAGCTGTTTGATTCCAACTAGTATTTTTTGTCTTATTTGGCCACCTGCCTATCCATTTGATCAAGGAATTTTATAGGGAAAATTTAGCCAAAACTTCTCAGTGGACTCTTCTTTGATGAAAATGATATCTTAATTTATTTTGTTTCATAAACTCTTAAAGAGAAAACACATAATTCAATAAGGATAAAATAAAATATCTTTTTTTTTTCTTGGACAATATTGCTAGAGTAACATGTTACTGTTACTGTTTACATCAATTTCGACGGTAATAATTTTTTTTTTTTTAAGAATTTCATAATCAACATGGATCTTATTTGATAGATGTTGATGAGAGAATTTTTAAAATACTAATTTTATTAAAAACCGACATTTACATCAAAAGTTATATTATTTTAAAGTTTAATATTTTGATAATAATGGTATGTGTTTGACTTTTGAAAAAAAAAATTGTATTTATCTTTAATGCATTAAACTTTTATTATGATCGGGTTTTGATCAAATTTCTCATTTTATAGCCACACACAGCATCACTTTTTGCTTGAATGTTGGCTTAATTCACTATTGTTTTTCAATGTGTTTATTTGTAATTTTAATTCCTACATTATAAGAAAAATCTCGAGTTATGATTCAAATTGAATACTAGAAGAATCAAAGTAACATGAGTAAAAAATAGATTATTAAAATGAGATCAAATACATACGTTGAAGACCAATGATGTAAGCCCTTGAGTTTTTTTTACCTCTCCCTCAATTTTCATAATCTTTACTCTGCCTTTCTTTGTTTTATCTCATTAGGTTAAAAAATTTGTTTACCTTTAAAAGCATAAAATACTTTCCACGCAAATCAATTTATTTTTTATTAATTTTGAAAAACATTTTTTATTGACTTTTAAGTATTTAATTTTTTATTGTATATCATACAAAACAACTACAAATAAAAAATATATATATATATATTTTTTTTTTTTTCAACCAAAACAAATGGAGCGAAAGAGTGGAGCCTTATTTCATGGGGACAAATGTGCAGCGATTTGATAATGCAAGGGGCAAAGTGATGCTTTGTCACCTGTTGCGGGTGTTTCATATTTTATCCAATTTGTGCATATGATCCAATGGTTGAAAGCATTTTTATCATGACGGTTTTCATTAGATTATGTTTGGATGATGAATTTTGAGTAGAATTTTGTGGAAGAAAAATAATGACTAAAAAATTATGAGACAAACAGAGTCGTATACTCTCTCCAACTGGCACATAACTAGAAGTAAACTCAAGTCTGGTAGCTGAATGGCACAAACCTCTTTATAAACCATTGAATGAAACAGTTGAAGAGTTTTATGAGACATTTTGATGTGAATACCAAACTTGAGAGACACACAATTGCTTAAAACTAACAATATTATTGCATATTTTAATCTGTTGACATAAAGACTCCTACCAGTACAGGAACTCCTTCAATAAAAATAGAGATAAAAAGCTGCTTATCTGTTACTTCTCTCAAATTCTATAGTAAGCAATAGTTTAGCACGACCACAACGACCATTCATAAATACCAACCACAAAAATATTAAATGATCCATCCACAAAAATAGTAAAATTATTCAAAGTCTATTGGATCAACAAACAAAAAACATATAGATATCAAACAACATAGACTATCCCATGTCAACAAAATGACAACATAGACTATCCGACGTCAACAAAATGACAATCAGTAAGAACATGCCTCCATTCCCAGAATGTCCCTATTTCTTAAAACAGAGAAATTCACAAGTGTCTAGTTGACATCAATCATGACCTGTTAAAAATATGCCATTACCTGGTGTTGGTCATCATCAAGTGAGGGTCTGGGAGGGGTAAGACTGGCAATAAACTTAACCGGTGTCATTAGTTTCGCACGAAATGGCTGCTCTCAGACTCAAAACTTGCATGTAATGCTCGGCAGCCTGAGCATTTACGGTAGATTCTTATGAATCCTCACTAGTAATGTAATTTTATAGCTAAAGCTTAAAGGTTTAAGAATTCAGATATACAGATAAAAGCATGAGGGAAGATAAGCTGGTCTGGTACCTTGATCAAGTACAAAAACAGGAAATTTGTATCGGTTAATCAAAAAATTGCCCAACTTGCTTCTTAGGCTGCTACTTGACAGTATGCTATAAAGCTAGGACATATTAGTAACCAGCAATTGGCATTTTCATTCATTTTGTGTGTGTGTGTGTGTGTGTGTGTGTGAGAGAGAGAGAGAGAGACTACAATAAAACCACTGAAGAAAAAGAAGACACAGAAATCAGACTATTAATGATGTTACGAAGAAAACAAAATTTGCTCAATGCAACTACAATCTTGGTCCTTTTCCCGCATAAGAGAAGAGTTAGAACTTCAGATTCACATAACTTTACCACACCAAATTCCACAAAACTTTAAGAAATTGAAGGCAATGGAAAAATTGATTCAACTAAAACAGAAAATTTTCCGATGCAAGCGGATTTAACAACCTCACGGAGGGTCTCTCCACTTTTTTAAGTTTTGAAGTGCTGAGAAACATGAGGAACTAGTTCCTGTCAAAAAAAAAGAAAAGAAAGTTTTAGTTAGGTTTCCAAAGTAGCAAATCTTCAACCTAGGCAGCACATACACTCACATGCTAACACAAAAATTTTCAAAAAATGTAGGACGCGTGAGAGACACGTGCAAAATAAAAGATAAAATCATTATTATATGTCATATATATAAATATTGAAGTAAAGATAATAATTTTGAATATATATAAATTTCCATATTTTTTTTATGCTTTATCATTGGATTCCAAGTTAGTTTATTTAAACTTGTAATGTGTTTCACGTGTGTCTAAATGTTGGGAAATGTCCAACAAGTGTCATGTTGTGTCGACCACAACATGTTGTCTTCTTAAAAGTATTTGTGCTCTTCACCTTCAACAATGTGAAAAAACTAAAAAGACAATGGAAGACGATGAGATTACCTCTGAATAACGCACATGATCATGATGCACATTCGAAGTTTTCACAATGGTCTCCCACTTGGTACCCGTGT